AGGGCTATAGGACCAAACACATCTTTTTTCTGCTAAATCAGGCTGTCATTTTTCTCTTGTCTTTCTAAGTGATGCTACAGGAATGCATAAACTGAAATGGTAGAATTAAGTGGAGCTGGATCCCTCCAGCAATGCTATAGCCTTTAGATGTGCTGTGGCCCTTTGAGCTACTCTATAAATCTTTTACTGGCAGATATGGAAAGTAGAGAAGGGAGAGAGAGAGTAGATAAAAACTATATTAGGTAATGCTTCTGCTTCTACAAGCAGTTAATCAGACACATGCTAACTAGGTCAACTTTGGTAATAATCTGCACCAGACTGTCTTGTAAGAGTGCCTAGGCAGGAGCCACAACTCTGCATCTACAACTAGTGTAGTAACGGCACTAAGTCTTCAGAGACAATCTAATTACTTATACATTTGTTACTTACACACAGGTCCAGCCACAGTTTTTTCCTCTGTACAATTTATTTTGCTTATTTTCTTCTAGATTCATAGAATAATGAATTTCAACTTGTTGTGTAGTTGTTAATGGTGCCTTGTGTCATAAGCATGCTTAAAAGTAGATGTTCTTTATATCTTTTCATCTAGGTGGAAAAGAGCTTATTCAGTAGTAGCACATACTTTTCACTAGAGAAATAGCATTATTTTCATCACTGTGTGGTGTTTCTGCCACAGCTGTGGGAAATAAACCCTGAAATAAAAATGGGTGAGTACAGATTAAATTCCTGTATCTTTTTACTGTTAAAGAAATAACAAAACACAAATAACAAGTAATTGATGTTAGGTAGATCTTCAGTGAATGAAGATAAAGCAGGTTGATAACTGTTTCCTCTTGGATTATGGGGGCAAACAACTTTTTCTACTCCTAAACACTGAGGCAAAGAAGGCGTTAAGTACCTCAGCCTTTTCCTCATCCACACACACATGGTTGTCGGAGTTGGAAGAGACCTCTAGAGATCATCTAGTCCAACTCCCCTGCTAAAGCAGGATGGCCTAGAGCACATTACTCAGGACTGCATCCAGGCTGGTCTTGAATGTCTGCAGAGGAGACTCCACAACCTCCCTGGGCAGCCTGTTCCAGTGCTCTGTCACTCGCACAGTGAAGAAGTTTTTTCCTCATACTTAAATGGAACTTCCTGTGTTCCATCTTGTGCCTGTTGCCCTTTGTCCTGCCACTGGGATCTACTGAAAAGAGTCTGGCTCCGTCCTCCTTGCACCCACCCTTAAGGCATTCATAGATCCTTAAAGGCATTAATAAGATCTCCCCTCAGCCTTCTCTTCTCCAGGCTAAAGAGTCCCAGCTCTCAGCTTTTCCTCATAAGGGAGATGCTCTAGTCCCCCATTCATCTTTGCTGCTCTCCACTGGACTCTCTCTAGTAGTCCCCATCTCTCTCGAACTGGGGAGCCCAGAACTGGATGCAGTGTTCCAGATGTGGCCTCACCAGGGCAGAGTAGAGGGAGATAATGACCTCTCTCGACCTACTGGCCACACTCTTCCTTATGCACCCCAGGATTCCACTGGCCTCCTTGGGCTCATGGATAATTTACTGTCTACTAGGACTCCCAGATCCTTCTCCTCAGAACTGCTTTCCAGCAAGTCCACCCCTAACCTACATTGGTGCATAGGGTTCTTCCTCCCCAGGTGCAGGACCCTACACTTGCCTGTGTTGAACCTCGTGAGGTTCTTCTCTGCCCAGCTCTCCAGACTGTCCAGGTCACACTGGATGGCAGCACAGCCCTCTGCAGTGTCAGCCACCCCTCCCAGTTTGCTGTCATCAGTGAACCTGCTGAGGATATGCTGTGTCCCCTTGTCCTGGGAAGCTGAAGCCCCTGACGAGAACAAGAACATACTAAAGTTGCTTTTTATGTAATGATAATACTATATATTGTAATACTTAGCACTAGCTTATATGCTGAAAATTAGGACAGTGCAAAGTAGTTGCATGGTACATCTCCCTTTATTTTAAAGCATGTAATTGTCATCTTCTTGTTCTCCCTTCTTTGTTATAGGGAGAGAATTAAATTTTAGTTGTGACAACAAAGGCGTATTTCGTTATATAATCACTACACTCTGCAGGGATGGGTTTATAGCAGGTTCAAATACACAGGCAGGCAAAGTATAGTGGCCTAACATCAGAGAGTATCAGTGTGCTGAGCCCTGTGGGACACACATGGGAAGGTGTGTTCAGTTAGAGAAGTTGATCTATCCTGTTCTAGCACTAATGTGATGCAAACTGGTTTGAAATTGTATGAGATGACTTCCACAACCATAATGTATGGAATGTTAAAAACACAGATGTCCAGCAAGGTGCCATGGAAAGGATTTTTTTTGTTGCTGTTTTTCTTTTTTTTGCAGGATTTAGGTATCTTGTCACTTATTCACAGAGTTAGAGAAAAATAGTGCTGATGCTGAAGCTGCTAAAGTAGCACCATCATATTCAAGGATTTTTGTTCTTGTCATTCAGGATTGTGAGCAGGAGGCTATTAGCATTGCTGCATGAAGTTCCACACAATGTATTAAAAAAATGAATAAAAGGTAATCACAAAACCACTGTGACTCTTATTGACAGTAGTTACTGTGTTTGAAGAGAAATACAGTCTTCTAATTGTTCCTTAGACTGTAAGGATTAATCAGAATTGCAGCTATTCACTGAATATAGCATTAATGTTTTATTCAAGTAAGACAATTAATATTGTGATGAGATAGGAACCTTGTCTGAGTGCTTTGGTTTACAAGAAGCATTGAAATGCATAAACTCTGGCTTTTGTACAGCTTTTCTACTAAGTATGGAAAGTGTGTGTGCATGTGTGAGGTTTTTTTACTTACTATCACATTTTTGAAGGAAATGATGCTGTTTGTTCAAGCTACTTTCTTAAAGGAGAGTTGGATGAAAGACTCACGTGACAAATAAAATTATTTTAATATATTTAAGCTAGTCTCTAGCAGAGTCCAGAGCATGTTTCCAGTTTACCACAGGTGATAGCTTGTCACAAATTGTCAAATGTGGCTGTAATGTTGATACAGGCTGGATAAGCACTTGCAAAGAAAAAACATTCTCAAACACAAAGGAAAAGGGAAACTGAGGGGAGTAGAACAAACCTTTTCTTGTACAGTGGGTTACATAAAGGTCTAATGCAAGTAATTTTCGGATTGAGCATCTTCATTTTTTGTCTTCATGCTAGGTGGAGGGTGGGACTTGAATGTTGTATGTTTATATTTTTAATATGGTTGCAAAGACAGAAAAGTTAACGGTTTAATTCTGTGTGAAAACCAAGAAGCTGTTTTAATCATGCTCAATATTTATCCAGTTTCCACTGGTTTTCCCCTACTTCATGTTTCATGTATGAACTCAAAAAATAAAGCATACCTGAAACTGCTTGTCTGGTTTGTAGCCCGGAAACCCTCAATACTTTTAGGAAAAGCACTGGCATATGTAATCATGGCAGTTTCGAGGAAGCCTGGTCAGCAGCTAGACCTCATATAATTGCTGCTAGGTTGGTTAGAACTGAACACAGATTCATCCAAAAGGTTTGTATTTTCTGATAACTCTAATTTGATTTTTTTGGTAGCAAATCTCAAACCCAGATGTCCTTTGTTTCCCGGTTCTTCTCCAAACTCTTATTATAAAACTCTTCCCCTCTTTGTCCTCACACCTCTCAGAAAAACCCTCTTTCTTTTTTTTTTTGTGACACTATCTTGTGATTTATGGACACTGTTTTTTTTCCAGAAGAACCATTTTTCAAGCTCTCATCCTTGTTCCTGTCTGAAAAACTTGCCTCTGAACAACTTGGGGCTGCTCCCTGTTCTCTGTCCCTGGGTTACCATCTTGCTTTGCTTGGATCAATGTTAGTGGGATGATTTTTTTTTCCACTGGTTTCAAGGGCCTTAACTCCTCTCCCTGCTGACCCAGGATAAGGCAGTTTGAAGCATTTCAGTGTCTCTCTGGAGTACCAGTCTTAGGTACAGCACAAACATGATGCTGCCATGTTGTCGTTTTCATTTATGTTGTGCTGCCATAGAAGGAGGGAAGCCAAATTCCTCATTGCCATGTAAATATTATATTAGACACTGCAGTGAGGCTTTGAAATGTTAATACCCCTTCTAGTTCAGCCAGCTGACAGAGTGCTCTGGCTTTATTTTGATTGTGACTCAGGCTGTCACAACAGGTCCTGGCAGAATTAAAACAGCTGTGAGCAGCCTGCAGGTTCCTGGGTAGCAAGGGCATGTGCTATGTTTTATGGATACTATTTTGGCATCATTTTAACTAGTGTTGTAGAAGGAAGGGAGGTGACTTTGAGGGATGGCAGCTGTTTAGAGACCAAGGGCAGAGCCCCATGCTCCTGCTTGTGCCAGCTGCCGGCTGGTCCATGGTGACAGGGTGTAAAACGGCCAACTTGTGGCAGGCTCTTAGCCAACCCAGGCTTGGTTGCAGAGGTCTAGGAGTCTCAGCCTGAGGAACACTCTGCTCCTCAGCCTGCAGCAGGGGTGGATGGACTCGTGCCAAAAGTATTCATGGTCTCCTGGTGGAAGGATGCTTGGCCTCCTGGTGAGGAGACAGGAGGGGAACATGAGTGAACAGGAATGGTTCCTGCCCGCCAAGAGGGACTGGAAGGCACCAGGCCAGAGTGAAGGAAGGGCTATCTCTTGCTTCAGCTGGGAGAAGAGATCCTGGCAATGACTGTGCCTCTGCCTTCTCTTTTGCCACCTCTTCTTGGGGAGAGTATTTTCTTCCCTGGCCTTTTGTTCTCTGATGACTCCTTCACGCCTTCATTTTAATGATAGCATAGCAGGAAACCAAGTCACATCAAGGCCTGAAGGTTTCCATCTGTAATGAAACGTAAAGAAACCTGGCAGGGTCTGACACATTCCCAGTCTCCTGAGAGAGAGAAACTTGGGATCTGAGCTCTGGGAGTAAAGTGTTCAGGCCAACTGAACTTTCCAAAGCAGTTAATTGTCTTGATTAATCTTTTTGTTTTCTTCCTCCTTAATTTCCCACAGAAATTGGGAAGATTGACCAAGATATATATAAATACAACACCCCAGGATTCACTGGCTGCCTATCAAGAGTACAGTTCAACCAGATTGCTCCACTCAAAGCAGCTCTGAGACCTACCAACACCTCCTCTCACGTCCACATCCAAGGAGAACTGGTGGAATCCAACTGCGGAGCGTCTCCACTCACCATCCCGCCAATGTCAGCTGCTACTGACCCGTGGCATTTAGACTCAGGTAAGCTGTGGTGCATGCCATGTTAGCTCAGCAGAGCAGTTCAGAGAAGTATGTCCCCCCTCTGTAAAGAAAAACGAACCAAACTGGATGTGATTGCAAGATAACTGTAGGACTGTAATCACAGTAGGAAATGCAAAGCAAGAATGACAGAGATTTGCCACTTCTAAATGAAGTTACAGGATATTTTTCTTGCCTTTTAAAAAAAATCTGCTTTATTTTTCTTTTCCATAAGATTTACACTGTTTGAATGTTGAGTTTTGACCTCGCTGTGATAACACTTTCACTGTAGCATTGGGTATGTAGTCAGCAAAATCTTCTAAAGTACAACTAAATAAGGTACAGTAGCATTTCTTCTGCTGTATTCCACATAAGTATGTATATGGTAGTAAGCTTCATACAAAGAAAGTAAATCTAATTTTAGGCATAAATATATTTATGTCAAGTGCTGATTTGTTTTCTGAAGTGTCTGCTTCCTGAGGCCACGTTTAATGGGAAGTCCCATTAGTCGTGATTGAATTCATCTCAGTCTGAAAATGCTGGAAAGCCAAAACAACTTGCTGAACCCAGCAATCTCATCCTGCTTTGTGACTGACAGTCTTGAAAGTGTACATTGTGCCTAACTTTTTGATTTTGCTTCTTGGGTGTCAGGTAAATACTTAGTAAAAAAAAATATTGTGTTCAGTTTAGATGTATGGGGTCAGGTGTGCATTGTATTTTTCTCCTCATTATGATTTCACTTGTAGCAGTGTAAATTCGAACCTGTCCTGGCAAAGCTGATGGATTTGCAGTGGTATAAAATGAAAATTCTGGAGAAAAAACTGGGTGCATAATGATTTTGATACTGATTAGTCTTTGTCTGATGTGCTTAGGGAGGCATCTATCTGACAGCTTTTTTTGAGAACTGAAGAATGTTGCAGGAGGGGATTAAAAATAATTGTCTAAATAAGACAGATAAACCAGAACAGAAATGTAACGATCCTTTCGCCTCTAAACTACAGTGCTAGATCAGACCTTGCAGATAATTACTAGATGTTAAGCAGGTTCTGCCTGACAGGTGACCTACATGAAATGTTTGCCTTAAACTCTTCTATGTAGTTACTGCAGGCAGGCCTCCTGCAGCAAAGAATTTGGGTGCCCTAGCAGGCTAAAAGGAAGATCATGAAGACACGTATCAGTCACTTGCAGTTGATCCTTCCTTAGAGACAAGCTCAGGGATTTATCAATAAGAAACTCTGTTGATTTTCTTTCCAGACAAATGGGCCATACAGCTTTCTTGATTAATTTTCTTGCACTTTTAGTTAGACTTGGATTAACTCATCTTTCATATTTACAGTATTATTTACAGTTATTTTAAAATTTGTCATTGTAAAAATGCCACTTCCCTTCCTTCCCACCCCTGGCTGGTCTTTTGCCATGCTACTGGGAGGGGCATTATCTTAAACCATTTTCTTATTGCTTGAAGGATTCTTACAATACATAGTCCTCTCTTGTTGGTATGGCAATCCTTTCTTGGTGGTGATGAAGCACAAGAATTCAACAAGTCATTTTTTTCTAGAATGTGACTTTCTGGTGATTTGAGGAAAAAAAAAATTAATATATAATTAAAAATAATTAATAGATAATTTAAAAAAATTAATAGATAATAAAAGATAATAAAAAAGATAATAAAAGCCAACAGATCATCAATATAATTCCCTTCCTGTGTTTTCCTCCCCTTCGTATTTTCTCAGTTCATGTCAGAAAATCCAGTTTGCCTTGGTTAAATCAAAAGAAGTCTAAAAAGGAGGCAAAAAGAGCCTGCTCAATGATCATGTTATTTAAAAATTACATGTCCTACCTTTACATGTTTTCTAAATCCAGTGAATTACCTCTCTGGCATACATTTCAAATCAAGAATTATAATTGCATGCCTTTAACTATATTAGCATGCATTTTAATATTTATTACTGTAGCATATGCAAAAACAAAGCTAATCATGAAGGGGTTTTTTAATATCCCTCAGATCAACTTAGCTAAGACGTGTGTCACTGATAACTGATACCTTGCTCATTGTAGAGAAGCAAACAAAAGCTCAGATTACTATTTTTATAATAACCTCCCACACCTAAAATGCCTTGTACTTAGAAAATGCGTGTTATTGGGGTGAGGTTGCTCAGTTTGTGGGTGTTTTTATCTAAGAAAAAGGTTCTGCAGTTTACTAATTACGTTTCACTTCCAAACTTTTCTTGTTTATATAAAAAATATAAAAGAAAGATAGTATATGTATATACCTCTTCATTTTAGGTAAAATGTGCTCCAGCTTGCCAAAATACCCAATATGAATTTAGTAAAAGCAAGAGGGGCAAAGGACAAGTTGACAAACCATGCCTTAGCACCTCAGAGCTGCCATGGCAGCTGTAGCTGGAAGATGCATTTATTCGGAATATGAATGCAATGACATCTAGAGTATTTTACACAGGACTTAGTTAAATCTATATTAGCTTCAATATATTCGGAATTAAATGGAGCAGGATTAAATGCTACCTCTGCAGTCTTCTTCCAAGTGGTGTGACTCTTTTTCTGACTGCGTGTATTTAAACCCTGAAAGCACTTTATTTTGTGGAAGGTGAAAGCCCTTTTAAGAATCAACAGCTTACTTTGAAATCTACATTGGGCATGTCTGGCAAAAACATGGTATGAAGACATGACACCATCATCAAGATCAAAATGACTGCCTGCAGAATTAAATCCCTTTTTGTTACAATTTCATTCCTCTTCCTTTAGCAAGTGATGGCAAGAGAAGGGAGTGGGAGGGCTGAATGCTGGCAATCCATGCTCACATTATTTGCCAGCTAATTGTCTTTGTAAAGTGAAAGATAACAGTCCATTTCTGGACTAAGAGGAAGTGTCACTCGTGTTACTGGTGACAGTGCTGAAGTTTACCTTCCCAGTTCAGACGCCATCGACTGTATTGCCATCCCACCCTCTGACCACTGGTACCCCCATCTCAGAGGACACATCAGCAGCATCTGAAGAGACAGAGTCAGATGTGCACTGGTATGGATGTGGCTACTGAGACAGGAGACAGGAAATATCTCTTGCCCTTGTCAAGGGCTCGTTACAAACAGTAGCACAGTGGGAAGGAAGCGTCAAAGACATTACTTGCTGGAGCGTGGAGATGCCACCCTCAGAATGACCTTAGGTTACAAACATGAGAACAAAAGGGTCTTCTGGCCATAGGCATTGGCTGCAGACATTGAAAGAGTTCTGTACACATCAGTGAATCCAACAGCAGGAGAATTAAAATCAATGGTAACGCCTGACACAGCATTCATTCTCCCCTCTAAGGGACAGCAGGGGAGCAGGGTCACTTATCTGGGCTTCGTACAAGGGACAAGCGAGTTGAGCAGGAGAGATGGAAGAGGTGCACTACTTTTGTTCATGATGTAGCCTTACATGTTTAAATTTGGTGTTAGCAAAATTAGAAATAGATGTTAAAGCAGTTGCTGGAATACAGTGGTGCTCCTTTTTCAAGCATAGCAAACAGGGTTAGTTACCTGTACTGCAGTCAGAGAATTATTCTGGATTCTCTCTTTGGAATGATTGATTTCTCATGGTGGTGATTTTTTTTTTTTAATTAACATAGCATGTAAACAATGGAAGGCTCTTTGTCTGCCAGTAAGCTAGTTTATTATTTATGTTTCCTATACAAGAGACAGAAGATGCACTTGCAGCCTGCTCTGTGGGCCAATAGATTCTTCCACTGCCAGATTTCGGTGCATGTCCATGACCAAGCTTCCTCTGCTTAGAGTGACCAGCTTTCATCCCCAGTTCTCCCAACTTAGAAGCTGATGTCCTTCACTGGAGTTGTTTTCAAGCAGCAAGGTAGCATTTTTTTTCAGACAGTCAGGGATTAAGTCTAGCAGAAACTCCTAACTCTGTTTCTAAGCACCAAGTGTTTCTTGCATGCAAGAAGATAAGTGGTAAACACTGAGATGCAAGAGATTCCATTTTTCTCCTCCCTATTAAGCAGCTAACTGGGAAGAGCATCTGTCTGAAATTTGGCACAATCAGTGCTCCATCCTTAAAGGGCTTAATTATGGTGCTTGAATTAATGTAATTCTTTCTTATTGATTTGAAATAAAAATGCCTCCCTCAGTCTCATCTAATTCCTTCATACAATTATGCATAGCTTTCTCTCATCTTTAAGAATATGTAATTTCAGTGTGAAATGTCTGACGCTGTCTAGTGTATCAGACAGCTAACAGACTGCCAAGCCTGTAAATTCTTCTGGCATTCATTGAGAGACCAGCATTGTTGCTATTTCATACGCAGTGATTTGAATGTTAATGCTGTTACCGAAGTCAAGACAAGAAGGTGGGAATGTTAAAGAGAGAAGTGTTTTCTATTCCCTGCAAAAACTATAGTTTTTCCACAAGTACTAACTTTAACTATGAGCATAGGGATGGCATAAATAAGGAAAAAAATGGAGTAGAGAAGGAAGAATTTAGGTGACTGAGCACCTCAAGTAATGGCTTTTTTTTTTTTCCTTTTCTTGGGCTGAAAAGTACTTCACTTCCTGTGCAAGAGGTTATTCTAGACTACAGTCAGGTCATTACAGCTACTAAAGTTTGTTTTAGATTTCAACTCTCCAGGCTGACACATTTTTCATCCACAATCCAAACCTTTCTGTTTTTGTAAGTGGATGAATGCTAAAAGTGCAGAACCTGATCTTGCTCTTCATATTCTGGCTTTGAGAAGCCCTTTCTTCCCATGAGCTCAGTTAATAAGACTCCATCTCTTTTTTTTTTTTTTTTCTCCTTTCAGTACCTGTCTTAAGTTAACAGGCTTGTATGGTATTCTTGTTCATTGTGTTGGATTTTTCACTTTTTGGTTTCATGTTTCTTTCAAGAATTCCCTGTGGGTCCATTAGCAGTGATTAGCTATATACAGTTAGCCTTTGATCAGCACTTAACTCTACTGTTCCTTTGAGACCACTAAAGCATTTCATATTCTACATT